CCGGGCCAGCCTCCGCGGGCGGAGCTCCGGGCGGAAGGCGGCGCCAGGCGGGGCTGAGCTGAGCGCCAGGCGGCGGTGGCGGCGGCGGCGGAGGGGGCCGGCGGCGCCTCCTTCTCCTCCCCCGGGCCAGCCTCCGCGGGCGGAGCTCCGGGCGGAAGGCGGCGCCAGGCGGGGCTGAGCTGAGCGCCAGGCGGCGGTGGCGGCGGCGGCGGAGGGGACCCGTCCACCGAGCTCGGCCATGGCAGCCTCCTGCAAGCGGATCGCCATCTTCGGGGCCACCGGCATGACCGGCTCGGCCACCCTGGCGCAGGCCCTCGAGGCCGGTAAGGCGACCGCGGGGCGGGGGCGAGACACCAGACGGCGCCTTCCGGCCTGGGGGTTCGGGGCCCCGCTGGGACCCGGAGCCGTCGGGGGTGGGGGGCTGGGCGCCCGGGAGGGGAAATCCCCCCGCTCGCCCCACCCCCCGAGTTATGACTGCGGGCGAAGGGGTGGCCCGCGCGGGTAGCCTCGGCAGACGCTTTAAACCGGATTAAACTCAGGCTCAGGAGGCTGCTGCTGCTGCTGCTGCTGCTGCTGCGCGCCCTGCCCGGGAGCCCCCCCCCCCGGCGCTGCCAGGCGCCCCCCGGGCTGCGTAAGGGCGGGAGGGCTGCCCGGGGAGCCCGGAGCCCTGCCGGGCGCTGATAAAGAGGAGGAGCGGCCTTATCTGGGCCGGGCGCCTACCTCTGCTGCAGCCCGATTGGGCACCGCGAGGCACACCCGAGAAGGGCTCTCAGCCCCTGCCGCACAGGCACACCCACACCCACACACCCCCTGCCTTCCTTCCGCACCACCCCCTGGCCACTTAACTGCGTTGCCCCAACTCCCCAGGTGACGGTGGTGCCTGCAGGGCCCAGCCCCGGGGTCAGGCCCTGCCCTCTGCCTCTTGCCAGGCCCCCAAGAGGGAGTGGGAGGCTGCCCCCAGAACACCAGGCACCCTTCCAGCTTGGCTCTTGGCGTGCGGGGGGGGGGATACTTCCTGGGCTGAGCCGCTGGCCCAGCACACGGGGGGGGGCTGGAGGAGCCCCCCAAGGGGCAGGGGGAGTCAGTGCCCCCGGGCACGTCTTTTACGCCAAAAGGCAAAACACCACTCAGGTGAGCAGGTCATAGTGACAGGAAAGGTGTCCCGCAGGGAGGCCAAATCCCTTCAAGGCAGGCCCGTAGCTGCAGCGGGGCGTCTCAGGGCCTGCCCCCTCCCCTCTGACTTCCATCCAGCCCCCAGGTCCCTCAGCTCTCTGGGCTGCCTGGAGGGGCTCCCCCCCCCTCCCCAAGCACGGCTGGCTTCCCTGCATAGGCAGGCAGAATGCGGACACGGCAAAAGTGAGTTTTTAAAATGCTTATCTTATTTTGTGGTGTCAGTGCCCCCTGTCTTATTTAACCCCCCCCCCCTCATGCACATGACCACGGAAACGTCTTCGGACAGCGCTGGCTCTTTGAAACGGAGATGAGCACTGCAACCCTAGAGTTGGATTCGACTGGCTTTCGAGGGAGGGAGCCTTGACCTTTACCCCCAAATTACAACCTCCTGGCTACAGGCCTGCTTCAAGGCCTTTTGAAGCAGCAGCCAAACAAAAGAAACCGACCCAAAGGCACACCCCAGCTCCAAAGAGAGGAGGTGCCTCAGCGGGAAAGCACCTGCTTTGCCCACACAAAGACCCGGGTTCGGTTTCTGGTCTCTCCGGTAAGTGGATCCCCGCAAGCCAAGGCGGAGAAAGATCCTTCCCTGCTTGGGACCTGAAGAGCCAGTTATAAGTGACAAACAAAGCGAGTTGGGCCCGGGTGTCCCTCACGGCAGGCGGGGGCCCCAAGGAGGCAGCCCACCCCCCCCCCCCTCCCCCCCCCCCCCTGCAGGTTTAGTTCCAGGCCTGCCTGCCGGATTATTCCATGAGAGAAACAACACTTCTTGTGCCCTCTCAGGGTGAGCCTCGGCAAAGCCACGTGTTGCTTTCCACTGCAGCCGACCGCTCTTTTCGGAAGGCGCCCCTGAACCAGTCTCACCCCCCCAGCCCAAGAGAGAAGCCCGCGGCCTCGGCTCCATCATTCTGCGTTAACACCCCCCTACCCCCCCCCCCCGCGTGAGTGTCCCTTCTGCTGTGAATCCTCCTCCCCAGGTTTTAACATTTGTATTTTGGCCATCAGGTCGCCGCTGACCTACAGTGACCTCACAGGGTCTTCAAGGCAAGCGACGAACAGAGGGTGGTTTGCCATGGCCTGCCTCTGCGTAGCCACCCTGGACTTCCTTGGCGGTCTCCCACCCAAGGACTGACCAGGGCACTGACCCTGCTTAGCTTCCGAGACTAGACCAGAAGAGAAGAGACTGGATTTATACCCCCTGCCCTTCACTCGGGAGTCTCAGGGCGGCGCACAAACTCCTTCCCTCCCCCACAACAGACACCCTGGGAGGCGGGTGGGGCTGAGAGAGCTCTTAACAGGAACTGCCCTTGAGAGAACAGCTCTGACAGAACTATGGCTTGCCCAAGGTCATCCAGCAGCTGCGAGTGGAGGTGCAACTAACTCAGCTTAGAGGGAACACTGATGGTGGGGCTCTTTCTTGGTGGGGCTGCAAGTGGAGGAGGAGTGGGGAATCGAACCCAGTTCTCCCAGACGAGAGTCCGCAACACTTAACCACCACACCACACTGGCTCTCTGATCGGCCTAGCCTAGACCACCAGGTCAGGCTGGGGACTCAGAGGGTGGTTTGCCTTTGCCTGCCTCTGCGTAGCAACCCTGGACTTCCTGGGTGGTCTCCCGTGGAAGGACTGACCAGGACTGACCCTGCTTGTCTTCCAAGATCTGAGGAGATCAGGCTAGCCTGAGCCATGCAGGTGAGGGCAGAGAGAGAGAGAGAGAGAGGTGGTTTGCCATGGCCTTCCTCTGCGTCCCTACCCTGATACTCCTGATATATGCAGACAGACTGACACGGCTGCCCATCTTGACCCTATTTATTTATTTATTCAGTTCACTCATACCCCACCTTGCTCCCCAGTGGGGACCTAAAGCAAAAAGCCCCCCCACTGTTGCCCCCCCCAAAAAACACCAAGAATACAGAGCATCACTTAACCCCAGAGTTCCTGTCTATACCTTGTGGCTAACAGCCACCGATGGACCTCTGCTCCATATGCTTATCCAGTTCCCTCTGGAAGCTGTCCACGCTTGTAGCCACCGCCACCTCCTGTGGCAGTGAATTCCATGTGTTCATCACTCTTTGGGTGAAGAAGAACTTCCTTTGATCCGTTCTAACCCAACCTCTCAGCAATTTCATGGAGTGCCCACAAGGAGTTCTTGTATTGTGAGAAAGGGAGAAAAGTACCTCTTTCTCTACCTGCTCTTTCCCAGGCATAATCTTATAAACCTCGATCATGTCACCCCTCAGCTGTCGTTTCTCCAAGCGAAAGAAGCCCCAAGCGCTTTAACCCTTTCTTCATAGGGAAAGTGTTCCAACCCCTTGATCATTCTAGCTGCCCTTTTCTGCACTTTTCCCAATGCTGTAATATCCTTTCTGAGGTGTGGGGACCATAATTGCACTCCATTCTGTCTTCACAACAACGACCCTATGAGGTAGGGCTGGGTGGCAGGTGTGTGACCAGCCCACGATCACGCAGCCAGCTTCCACGTCGGAGTGGGGATGTTGAACCCAGGTCTCTCATCCCCTGGTCCCCGCCCTCTCTTTCCAGGCTACCAGGTGACGGTGCTGGTGCGGGACCCCGTCCGCCTCCCCCCGGAGCTCCAGCCGGCACACGTCATCGTGGGGGACGTGCTGAACCCGGAGGACGTCGACCGGGCTGTGAAGGGCCAAGACGCCGTGATCGTCATTCTGGGCACCCGCAACGACCTGAGTACGAGAGGCGCAGTCTCCCCCCACCCCCCGGCACCCCCAGCCCCAGTCCCCCACCCCACCCCCCCAGGCTTTCCTGACTGTCTCCCTTCCGTCCGTTGCTCCTCAGGCCCCACCAACATGATGTCTGAGGGCACCCGGAACATCGTGGAAGCCATGAAGGCCCACGGGATCCGCAAGGTGGTGGTCTGTCTCTCAGGTGAGCCCCCCTCCGAGAAGTCCTCGGGGCCCGGCCAGCCGCATTTCCTTGGGGCCGGGCGGCCCCTTCCAGTGCGCCCGCGGCACTCCAGTCCTGGGTGGAGCCAAAGCAAGCGGGGCTTAGAAACACTCTAAACTCTGAACGGGGCTGAACATGTCGATGAGATTCCTGTTCTGCAGATGACGGGACAGTCACTTCCAGGCGGCGGGATTTGCATTCAGTTCCCTAAGGTCCTAGTGCTGTCTTTCGCCTCGCGTGCCCTGCCCCTGTCACGCTTCACTGTGGTCATGCTTAGGTTTCTCTTAATGTGTCTCACGTGGGGGGGTGTCACCCAAGTCACAGCACCGGTGCGGGGGGCGGGCTGTCCCACGGCAGGGTGCCCTGGGGGAGGGGAGAGCCAATAACCAGGCTTTTCGTGCTTCTGACCCAGCGTTCCTGATGTGGGATCTGGAGAAGGTCCCTGCCAAGTTGCGGCCGCTGACCGAGGACCACATACGAATGCAGCAGATCCTGAAGGAGTCGGGGCTGGACTGCGTCTACGTGATGCCCCCCCACATTGCAGGTGTGGCTTGGGGGGGGGGGCTGCACTGGGTCGTCTGGAGATCAGTTGCAATAACACGTCTCCAGGTGCCACCTATAGGTTGGCAACCGAACTTGTGTAGGTTATGAAACTACATGAGAAGACACTGATTCACACGTACGCGAATGCTTACAATCATTTGCCTGTACTGATTAGTTTCAGTTTCCACAAAGTTGGGGCTGGATTCCCATTCATGGCCAGATGCAGGATTTAACTTTGTGTAGAGATGCAGAGGCCCGGAAAAAAAACTAGGAAAATTCGGGGGGGGAAACCCCCCCCCCCGCTTTTTTCCTGAAGCCTTTTTTGTTTTTTTCCGAAAAATTGGAAAAAGAAAAGAAAAGAAATTGATTATGGAACGTTTTATTTTAACATGATGAATAAAATATTTTAAGACAAGGTGTTCAGATATTTTCCAAATCATTTCTAAAAAATATGTATAGTATCAGATTGATCTAATTTCTGTGCACTGAGGACAAGCAAGTCCTAGGCTACCAACTGAACTCTCCAATGCAAGAACAAGATTCATTTCTTCCTTTAGGAGGTGCTATTGCCACAAGAAAAAGGTTTCAGGTTGGGTTTTTTTGCATGCGGGTGGGTATTCTGTTTGTAATAATTGTTTGGATACACTATATTTTAATATGCTAGTTGTGATAATTTCATGCCAAGTAAAAATGTCCATAGTCATATTTTATGTTCCTAAAGTAACAGAATGACTTTCAATCTAGAAAAGACAAAAGAAATGCTAATGTAGCATTTTTTTCAATTTTTCTGAAAATTTCCGTTTTTCCCCGAAAAAAAACGGGAAAAAATGGGTTTTTTTTCAAGCTTCAAAATTTCCGGAAATTTTACATCTCTAACTTTGTGAACTTCCTCTCCTGGCCGGCAGTCCCCTTTCTAGTGGTGAATCGAGGGCAAATCTAGTTAAAACTTGGTTCTGCTCAGTTTGGATTTTTGTGTCCCATGTTTTTAGGAAGGGTGAATTTTTACCAGATGAGATGATGGGCAACACTACTCCCTCTAAGCTGTGGAGTCCTGTGAGGAAAAATTCTACTTTGTGAGCTGCTGGCATTAAAGTTGTGAGCCAGCTATTTGGCTGCTGCATAAATTAGTTTGCTCTGGAGCCATCCTTCCTGAGCTAAGACAAAAAATGTGGGAGCTGAAGGCTAAAAAACTGTGAGCTAGCTCACATGAAAAGAGAAGAGATTGGATTTATACCCTGACCCTTTACTACCCAAAGGAGTCTCAGAGTGGCTCACAAACTCCTTTCCCTTCCCCTCCCCACAACAGACACCCTGTGAGGTAGGCGGGGCTGAGAGAGCTCTGACAGAAACTGCTCTTTTTCAAGAATAGCTCTGACAGAACTATGGCTTGCCCAAGGTCATCCAGCAGCTGCGAGTGGAGGTGCAACCAACTCAGCTTAGAGGGAACACTGATGGTGGGACTCTTTCTTGGAGGCCTCATACAGCAGTCTCAGATACCTCGGGGTATTGAGAAGACAAAACAGAGGAAAAGGGCAATAAACGCCAAAAGTGGCAATGAAATGGAATTTGCCAGTTGAAGAGCCGACACTCATGGTGCATGGAGTCCATGCCGGGTGCCTGTGGTTTCCCCGCGTCCAACTGGTCTTCTCTCCTTTTCCAGGGGACCAGCCGCTCACAGGGGACTACACGGTGACCGTGGACTCGTCGGGGGGCTCCCGAGTCATCTCCAAGCACGACCTTGGGCACTTCTTCCTCAAGTGCCTGACCACCGCCGAGTATGATGGGAAAAACGTCTACCTGTCGAGGCATTACCCCAAGGAGTAGTGCCACAGCCGCCCCCGCCTTCCTCTAACCGGGATGGAGACTGGAGAGCGGTCTCCTTAGCAGAGGGGGGAACTCTTAACTTTCTGCTGTGGCCTGTCCAGCCGTCCGCTTCCCCCCCAGCCCTTGGCCTTTCCACCTTGGGAGTGTCTTGTGGCTGCAAAACCTCACTGCGTGGTGCTGTGGCCCAGCAGTGGCTCCCGTCCGGCCTCACGCAGAGCGCCTTCCCTGCTTGCCTTGGGGAGCTGGCTGCCTGCAGCTCTCATCTACCCCCCCTCCCTTTCTGTCCCTGTCCCCCCTTCCCC